TTGTCTCTTACAAAGAACTGGAGAACATTCAACACCAGTCACCTTTTGGACAGGAGCCTGGCACACTTCTCAGGTAAAGAGCCAAACAGAATTTGACCAGGTGTGGGTGTGGGGATGGGAGGCTGTGCCCCAGTGACACCGCTCACAGACAGCTGTGGAGGTGTGTGCCCCGTGACACTGCTCACAGACAGCTGGGGGGGGGCTGTGCCCCATGACACTGCTCACAGACAGCTGGGGGGTGCCTCAGTGAAACTGCTCACAGACAGCTGGGGGGGGTGCCCCATGACACCGGTCACAGACGGGGGGGCTGTGCCCCATGACACTGCTCACAGGGATAGACCCTGAGTTTGACAATCCTGTTGCAGATCAATGCTAAGATGAACACAATGAGGTAACAACACACACACACACAAGCACACTGACACACACTCAGACACACAGATACACACACACACGGACTTGCTTGGCCTTTGCAATAAAAAAGAACAAAAAATAAAAACAAAACACCTTCACTTCTAAGCTCAAGATCATATCCAGAGAATTTACTTCTTGATAATTTTTTGATGTTGTTTCTTATATCTGAAAATCATTAATAGCTATCACAAAGCTTCTCTTCTTTAGATGGTCTGAAGCTTTCATTACAGATCCATCTGTAATTCTGGTATAAAATACACACAGAAAGGTGGGCGGTTCAAGTCCCCCCAGGGACGCCCCAGAGGAAAGGCCTGGGGATCCACCTCTGAACAATCAGCCCCTGCCAAGCCCATGGGGCACGGTGCCGCTGACACCCTGGAGCACCACGGTCCGTGTCTGTGTGTGTCTCTGTCTCCCTGCTGTGTCTGTGTGCACGGTGCCATTGACACCACGGGGGCACTGCAGGTTGGTGGCGTGTGCACGTGCGTCTGTCTGTGTGTGTGTGTCTGTCTCTCTATGATGTCTCTGTGTGTCTTGTGTTTGTGTGTCCGTCTCTGATATTCATGGGTCACTGTGAGTTGGTGATGTGTGTGTGGGCATCTGTGTCTGTGTGTGTGTGTCTCTGTGTTGGTGTGTCTGGCTCCAATATCCATGGGGTCACTGTGAATCGGTTGTGTGTCTCTGACACCCATGGAGTCACCATGAGTTGTGTGTGTGTGTGTGTGTATCTCTATGTGTCTCTGACACCCACAGAGGCATCGTGAGTCAGCTGTGTGTGTCTGTGTATCTCTGTGTGTCTCTGTGTGTGTGTGTATGACACCCATGAAGTCAGTGTGAGTTAGTTGTGTGTCTGTGTGTCTCTGTGTGTGTGTGTCTGACCCATGGGTCACCACTCGTAGGCTGTGTGTGTCTCTGTGTGTGTCTGACACCCATGGGTCACCACACGTAGGCTGCGTGTGTCTGTGTCTGACACCCGTGTCACCACGCATAGACTACGTGTGTCTGTGTGTGTGTCTGACACCCACAGGTCACCATGCGTAGGCTGCGTGTGTCTGTGTGTGTGTCTGACACCCCTGTGTCACCACGCGTAGACTACGTATGTCTCTGTGTGTGTCTGACACCCATGGGTCACTACGCATAGGCTGCATGTGTCTGTGTGTGTGTGTCTGACACCCACGGGTCACTGTGTGTAGGCTGTGTGTGTCTCTGTGTGGGTGTGTCTGACACCCCTGTGTCACCACGCGTAGGCTGCGTGTGTTTCTGTGTCTGACACCCATGGGTCACCACGCGTAGGCTGCGTGTGTCTGTGTGTGTGTGTCTGACACCAACGGGTCACCATGTGTAGGCTGCGTGTGTCGCTGTGTGTCTGTGTGCCTGACACCCCTGTGTAACCATGCGTAGGCTGCGTGTGTCTGTTTGTGTGTGTCTGACATCCATGGGTCACCATGCATAGGCTGCGTGTGTCTCTGTGTGGGTGTGTCTGACACCCAGGGGTCACCGTGCATAGGCTGCGTGTATCTCTGTGTGTGTCTGACACCCACGGGTCACCGTGCGTAGGCTGCGTGTGTCTCTGTGTGGGTGTGTGTAAGTTGAGAGCGGCCTACCTTCTTCTCCAGAGAGTTGCTCCACTCCTTCAACAGGTTCACGTGCTGCACTGCGGAGCTTGCCTCGTGGGCCTTAATCTGCTGGTTTGTTCCCTGTGAGAACAAAGAGGCAGAGGGTCGGGCCAATGTGCTCCACCAACAACGACAGAAAGACTAACAACGACTCTGAAACCACCTCTACGCACTGGGGGACACGTGTTTGCCACTAGCAGCTACCTGGTCTACTGCAGGCAGGTGAGCGGAGAGCACGCGGCAGGTGAGGGAAATCCCCACAGCGCTGCTGCTGTCATCTCAGTCCACAGGCCTCAGGCCTCCCGCTGGCAGAACCTTCCACCAACTACCAGCTCACACTCGTAACAGCGAGAAACTACAGCTTCAACGCCCGCCACTGCTATTCCTTTAATACCTTTTCACTATGATTTTCAGTGGAAAATGCCTGGATATCTGCAGTGACACCTAGACACCACTACAAACATAAAATGCAGTCAACTAGGATTCAAAGTGATTTACTGGAATACTGATCGGTTAGCTGTTCCTCACCCTTCCAGGTGTACTAAGAAAGCTACATACAAACACAGAAAATCTACAGAGTACATAAGATGTAGACCATTTTCAGCATCAGTAATAACCACATGAAATAGTACTTCATATGTTTAAGGAAATGATTGGGAGGAAGTTACAATTTGTTTTGAGAGTGGAAAATCAAGACACCACAGAAAACATCTTCATGATCTCCAAAACATATACTCTGTACATGGACTACTCGTGTGTATATATATGCTGATGTAAGTGTTGCCATACACAAACATATATGTACACACACACACAGAGAATGAATGGTACTACATCAGACGTAACAGTGGTGAAGGCCCAGTCTCCTTACAGACCAAAGCAAAGGGAAAGCTACTGTTGTCTGCAAACCTTTTACTTTCTAAGAAGGTACCAGGATACCAGCAGCTCTATACTGGCTGCATCATGATGTACTGATGATACGTAAAATTAAATGCAAAATACTTTGTCATATATATTTCCCTTTGATAGTTTAAGATACACATTGAAATGAACACTCAGTTCAAATTCTCCCGCAATCTCAGGCATGTTAAAAAAAAGGAACAAACAGAACAGCCAGAGACAGGTTTCTCACCACACGTGTGGCAGGAGCCGAGACGTCCCCACCACTCCTGGGAGAGGTGGCTGGTCTGGACTGCGCTGCGCGTGGAAGCTGGCCTCCGGTCTATGTCCGTCAGCCAGGCACATCCACACGAGGCACTTAGCACACATGCGTGTGACTCTGGCAGGTGTGTCGTGATGCATACACTACAGAGCCGTGTCTGGCTTGGTGTTTACTTGTAGTCAAATAACACAAATGTTCCGTAACAGTTTTTCTAGAAACCCCCAAACTGTCACTGCTGGTTTTAGAGAGAGCTCTTCTGGTGTGAGACCTGCCCCTCGGCAGAGGGTCCACCTGCCGTCTCAGAACAGCACAGGTGTAGGAAGCATGTGCCCACGCCCGCTGCCTGTGGCGCTCACCACTGTGCAGCAGGCTTTCCCATTTCATGACAAAGACTAAGAGAGTCCAGAACCTGCATGCTAAAATGAAAATATAGAAACTTTCTGTCATTGTGGAATGCCAGTGACTGGAAGGACAAATGTCGGATACTGACCTGAAAAACGCAGCCATAGCGCTTAAAACTACAGGTGCTGGGGGCATTGACACACTCTGACAAGTGTGCACTCAACTGCAACGGGAAAGAGACGTGAGTTGTGGCACGAACGTTGGCACGAACATGTTCAAACATAGTAAGGGCACAGACCGCATCGGGGCTGCACTGTTCAGAATGGCGCTTATCGGCTACAGGGGTGCGCATATTTATTACCTGCTTCCTATGCTCGTAGGCAGCAAATATACAGTACAGCCACGCGTATACACATATGCACACCATATACAGAGATACATTTACTGTAACGTTTCTTAAACTCCGCTGTTTCTTTAGAACAAGCTGTTCAAAACGTGACATGCTGTCTACAGTGCCAGAATTCAAAAAGGAGAAAAAAAAAAAAAGCAAACTGAAAAGCACATTCATAGACTATCAACAAAAATTGCATGAAACACAAAAAATATAAAGCATTCAGAATGCAACTGGGTCACACACCTCGTATGCAAGACACAGAAGTCATCTGAACGTGCTTACATGGTGCCCCATGCCTGTCAGCCCTCAGACAGCTGGGGACAAGCTCCTCCTTCTTAGAACACTTCCCCTCTGTTTGGCCACAGATTCACTTGGACGTTAGAGACCTTTAAGGCCCTTCTAAAAGAGGAGCTCTGGTGGTATAGTGGTTAATGTGTCCGGCTGCCAACCAAAAGGCCAGCAGTTCAAACCCATCAGCTGCTCCGTGGGAAAAAGACGAAGCAGTCTGCCTCTGTAAAGACCGACAGCAGTTCTAGTCTGTCTTACTCGCTATGAGTGGAAACTGACTTGATGGCAGTGGGTTTATGTTTGGTTTTTGGAAACCCTTTTAATGATATGAATCTTAAGGCTGCACCTCTAATTGATGGAAGGAAATTAGGAATTGGTTTCCCTCCCTCAGTCTAAATGTTGGTGCGTCGACAAGTGAAGCACTTAGGATGCTCGTTGGGAGGAAAGGGGTGGAACGACAGTATTTTAAAGACACTTTATGCATTAGGCTGACACAATTTAAGGGAGTCCACCCCTTATTGAAGAAATGCTCATCAGGAACCTCCAGGGAGAGACCTTTATACACATGGGGGAACCAGGCTGCAGCCTGGAGCCCCTGGGGTGTGCATGGACCGGAGTGACCATTCAAGAGGGTGCCCTTTGTTTCCGCCACGTCTCCACAGTCCACAGGACAGAGCTGGTCCTACACATGGCACAGAAGGGAACGGTACTTTACACCCCTTGCCCTGTTTCCACAACTAAGTGGGGAGGAGACAAGTGGCAACAGCCTGGGGCATCGCCCATTTGCCCAAAGCTGAGAACAGCCTTCAGGGAAGGTCTGTGAGCTGGGCAGAGGCAGGACGGCTGAGGGGCCAGCAGCCTGGGGTACACAGGTGCTCCTACAGGAAGGGGCCCAAGGGCTTGTCTCAGGTGGCCGTAGGTAATGCACAGGAAGACTGTGTGGGTAGAATATTACATGCAAATAAAACATTCTTTCAATTCCAGCGATGTAACCAGAGACTTTGCAGCCAGCATGTCTAATGTTAAAATCAGTGACAGGCCCAGTCTGACAAACGTTATTTTCCCGTTAAATTCTAAGTCGGATTCGACTCGACGGCGAGTTCCTGTAAGTTCAGGACTGGGCCCTCTCCTAGACTGGCTTTATTGTATCGTGACCTACCATTACCCTCAGAGCCCTGGGAAATCTACAGGAGCTTCCGAACAGAGGCAGAAACAAACCTTCCACTGAAAACCCAGGATAAAGACAGATTTAAAGACTCTTTTAGTAAAAATGACTCAGGAGATTCAGATAACGCTGAGTGAGTCAAAATCCAGCCCCATGTCTAGGGAGCTGGAGTGCTTTGAGCCGCACACCCTCTGCAGACACAAGCTGACAGGGCCTTTCCACGGCCATGGTTTAACACCCACAGGGATGGTGATGGCCGCCAGTACTGGGAGGGCCCCCACCCGTGCCCTCTCACTCAGGGGAGACAGGAGACTGCTCAGGTCCCAAAGCCTTTCTGCCCCGTCCCCAAAATCCAGGAGGAATTTCAGGCCTGTTAGAAAAGATGGGGTCACTCAGACCAGAGCACCCAGGGCTAAGTGACCACCTGGAGACCAGGGCAGCATGTACCACAGGCCCACGAGGGCCTAGGCAGCTCCTGTCACGGCCACCAAAAGGGAGCCTGCACCCAACACCAGGTCAGGATCAGGGGTAAAAAGAACCCTTGGAGTTTTTCCATCTGAGTCCATCTTGATCAAAGGACTAATGCAAAATCCACCTGTGCCCAGAGGAGCTGGGCGAGTCAGCCAGGGGCCAAGCCTCTGCCCAGGGCCTCTCTCTCAGCGCTGCCCTGTCCTCTGCACACACCTGGACTGCCCGGGACAGTCTCTACTTATTTTCTCGAGATAATCTTATTGTAATCCTGCATTATAATATTTAAATAGCTTTTTGAAATTTTTATGTAAAAAACGTCACCTTTGCTTGCATCATGGGTAACACAGTCTCATTTTCTTTATTCTTGGAAATATTACTGCTTGGAATTGATCACTTTGGAACTTTTAACTGTTTGCTTCTGAAATCCTTGACTTTTAAAGGACAGCGTAGGTTTCCCCTATTTTTCCTTTTCTGCTCCACACACTACTGCAGCCATCTGTTAACAATGTCAGGCTCTGACAACGTCAGGCTCACTCATCCCAAAGCCCTCATGCCCGGGAGTGGCCTGGCGGCCGCGGCTCCTACCTCACTCCTCAGGAGCGTCTGGACGCTGCACTTGTGGGGGCAGGAGACCACCACGCAGGGGCACTCGGTGTCCTCGTGTTTCTGTGGAAGAGGGAAGGGCTGAGGTCAATACGCGAACACAGCCAGACCTTCAGTTCCCCTGACACCCCCATGCGGACGCAAGCCAGCATGCTGTGCACTGTCCTCGTCCCTCCAAGGGATGGCCACTGAAACCACAATCTGGAGTTCTGCGTTTCCACTCCCTTTGCTTTTTTTTTTTTTTAATTGTGATTTGGGTGAAGATTTACAGAGCAAATTCACTTTCCATACAACAGTTCACATACACTTTGTCTCAAGTCACTGACCACAATTTACCACAATGCAACAGCTCCCCTCCCACTTCCTCCCCATAGTTACCTCTTCCCAGTGTCCATCCCTCCATACACTCCTGCCCCCTGAGCTGTCTCCCTGTGCATAAGCAGCCCTTCTTTCTCCCATGATTGTTCTCTCCAGGGCGTGTGTCTACTTGAGGTAAATGTTTAACTCACATGCCTGTACTTTGTTTGGCTGGAAACCACAGGTGTGGGTTCAATTCCACACCTGACGGGCAGCTAGGGGCCATAGTCTCAGTGGTTCCACCAGGCTCTATTGGACCAGCAAACCTGGTCCTCCCTTTGCTTTTAAAAAAAGAACAGCATCAGTGCCTACGCAGGGCCGAATCAAATGTTTTGTTTCTCGTGTTTCTCTTTTCATTAAGACGACACTGCGAGGTGAGTCCTCTGGGACCCGGCTGGGCACGATGTGGCTCAGAGCAGTCGGTGTGCCATGGACAGCTACAGCTCCTTCCCTGTCACTGATGGGGAACACGGTCCATGGTTGCACAGTCATGTGTCATGTTCCTGCTGCGTCACAGGCCACAGGCGACCCCGCCACAGCTTGTCTGTCATCTGCTATGCTGGCCATTTGGCTGTTTCTTTCCACACCTGCTGTGCTGGCCACACCTGACTGTATTTCCTGGCAGGTGTCGGGGGAGCTGCTACCGACCATAGCACATCAGTGTTCACGGCTGTTCTCCTACATAGACTCCAGCACAACTGAGACGCTTCCCGTCAGATGGGTCTTCACAACTCGGAGCTTTCACAAATCAATACAACCGTTAAAGACCCCGATACCTGAGAATTTCTAGACTAAATGCAGAAGGGATTTTTTTGGTGACACTTTAGATCATGCTGACCTATAAGATTAAAAAAAAAAAAAACGCTTGGAAACAGCTGACAGAACATTCCTATCGCAGTGGAGACACAGGAGGGAATCCCCACATGAACCACAACGGACCAGCGTCCATGCTCCATGCTGGCTCCTCCTGTGCCCGCAACGCTTTACTGATGCCCACAGCATTGAGAATTTGGTATATTCAACATGCACAAAACACAGACCACGCAGGAAGATCAGGATGGCCTGGCGTCTGATGCCCACAG